TATATATATATAAGTATTATTAACACGCGTGACTTTTTTCGTTTGCAAAATAGCTGACATTGCAAGCTAAATTCGTTCCTTACATAATCCGGCGAGGAAAAAGAAGTAAAATGTAAAATCTATTCATTCATTTGAGCATCGATCCTCATTCTGCGGGCATCATAACGTGGTATTATAATTGTATTGAAATGGCTGACAAGGATTCACAGGGACCGTTCCGCTAGACTGTATCAGCGTTCTTCGGAACGATGGATGGCATTTGAAAGACCTAACCGACGCTAAATGTATACATAACAGCCTGGCTTCCACGTATATTGGCAATAGTGAAAGGCGGCATTGTTTTCGTGCTTGCCAACCGAGTTCCCGCTTCAATCCTCTCCCACATATGGGTGGGACGATGGGATAGGAAGAGAGATTTGCCTATATCCGAGAAAATGTGTTATTTCAGAAAGGCAGATAGAACGGGAGCCACACTCTAACACTTTGGCTACTGTAAAAACACTCGACGCGTCCCTTCCTTTCAAGAAAAAGAAGGCATGTACATACGCACATATAAGTATCGCCGAATAAACATAACTAAAAATAATCGCTGAATTCTCAGAGATTACGATAATATCGAGCAATTTCTTGTAGTTTTAAAGTTTATCGAAACTGGACTTGGTTGATTTCAATGCTTCGATTGTATATAGCATATTAATCGTAAGATGTAAAAGCGATTATGCGCTCACCCCCAATTGACAACGGTCTCCTTGGCGCAAGCTCCGGAACACCAAATGATCCGCTCCAATCGCTCATCGGACGAGATCCTGATGACCGAGATGCCGCGACTGGAAGACGTCCCGGTCAATTCGGACGAAACATTCGATCGTGCAAAATATGTACCTTCTCGTGATAGGTAAGCGCCGACGGACGATTGCCTGAAAATCAATCCCAATGCCAACAGCAGCAGCATCGGGTAGTACCTGTTCCAAAATCAGGGCGTAATATTTTTTTAATAATGTATGTGCAATTGCAAGATGTATCGGAATAATATTTTGCGGAATAGTAGAGCGAATCTCCTAATATATTATCTCTTGTAAGCTATATAATGATAGTTTTCTTTTATATAAGAATTATTGGTTGCGCTATTCGATAAACATCTTATACAAATTATAACAATAACAGATTTTTTTCTCTTATTATGCTTCCTAGGTGAAATCCAACAATAACTAACTAAAAGTAACATATAAAATCTTGTTAAATATATTTTTACCTAATATCAAAATTTCACATGTTTATATTTTTAGAAAGCATTTCATCAAAGTTATAACATAAAATTCTAATATAGTATACTATTCGTGCATGTGTAGCATATCTTGGACTTATTATATATTCTTGCGTTTGTAAATTTTTAACTAATATACAAGTATATAGAGAACACCTGATTAATTCTCCCCCGATCAATTTTACAAAAACTATAAAGGCTGCTAAGGATGTAATTTGTATAATTTTAAAGAGAACATATAGTGCAAAAATATTATATACAAAATCATTGTAGAATTAATTGATTTTGGTATCTGCTGTATGAGATATGAAAGGTATGTATCTATAGATAAGTATCCCTCCACTTAAAAAAAGAAGCATATTGACGTAAAAAATTCCGAAACTAATATAATAATCTTGAAAGAGAAAAAAATTTGTTCTAAATTACATTTACTTTCTTCAAAATTATACAAATTATGCTTTTGCCATTTTTCTTTTTTTTTTTTTTTTTGCATCTTTGCATTATTTTAGAAGAATTATTTAAATGTCTAGTTTGTTGAAAATAAACGATATTATCAACATTTTCTCAATTACAAATCAACATTTCAATTTAATATTACTTGTGAGTTTATTATTGATGCAATTATTAATGAATTATTTTACTTTTGGCTTTTTATCGCAAAAAAAAATTTCAAATAATCTCTTTTCAAAGAAATTTAATATACGGTGAGGTAATATATGTGAAATGGAATGTGAGAAATATAGATATTATTCATTGACACGACGCGACATGTGCGATAACGAAACATAATTTCTTGTTTATTCGTAGAATTGCTATCGTAAGAACATCACGTCATCTTTGATACTTTTTAGGATTGCAAGAGTTTAAAATAAACAAGGTCGTCTTACAATCAAATTTAAACAGTTTTATTTCTTTATGTTTTTTCTTTATATTTTTTTGTTACATATTTCATTTTTTTTTTTATATATCAAGGAAATATTATGAAACTAATTAAAGATTGAAATGTTATGGAGATAATTATTCCCCCTTCCATGTAAGTTGGATGAGAACATACCTCTTTGAAACGCTCATCATCTGTACCATCCAAGATTCAAAGATATCAAATTCTCTCGATCTTCAAGTACGAAGGATTCAAGTAATGCCATATGTGTATTCTCACATAACGTCGTCGCGCCGATTTGGAGAGAAACTATACCTCATATATTCACTCTATTTTTTGCACTTGTTTACGCTCGTATCTTTTTATCACGGAAGAGAATATCGCGACGAATCGGCGAACGTGGGATGCGCGCGATAAACGATCACGTGGCTCTCAAGTTTACCTCGTTAAATAATTTTTCGAGCTCGTTTTTATCGAGATTATTTATTTTAAAATCATTGATTGAATTTATATTTATCTCTTTTAGTTTACCCGCATATTTTCACTTGACTCATCGATGCCACGCGACTCGACGCTCCAGCGAGTGTCAATCCGCGGAAACCAACCACCGACCGGCAGTGTTAACAACTGGCGCGCTACGCTCGCGGCTCTCCCTTAAATACCGCCGAGTGGAGTTCGGGTAGTTCGGTGTTGTCCAGCAGTTCACCTATACCCACCACCGTTCTGTCACTTACGGCCTCTCTTCTCTCTTCTCTGCTCACCCCATCTTGCTCTACCCTGTGCCTTTCTCTCTATACTCTCCTGTACCCTACTCCGAGTGTCCCTTCTGCGGCCTCTCCGCATCGTCCGGACACCAACTAAACTCCACCCTCTTGCCCCTTCTTCTTGTCCTACTCCTTCGCATCATCGGCATCTACCGCCAACGAACCGCGCGCGCGTCTGCCAAATCCAATCCCACCTATATTCATCCTGAGGATCTAATCTTCACGTAGTCTTCTTCTTTTCCGTCTCGCTCTCTTGCGATCGTGATTTCTCTCTTCTCCTTTCAGCAGTAGTCGAGGCTGTAGCCTGGACATCCCTCGGATTTCTTTCGGTCTTCAAACGACTGTGGTAAATGCCGGTGCTTTGGTCCCGCTGATGCATCCATCACCGCGCGTCACTGCACCTTGCGGTCATCGATATTCGAGATTTCGCTGTAACGATGAATCGCGAAAAAATACGCTGTGACATAATATAGCGCATATCGGTCACGATATGCCTTTCTTATATACTTATCGCAAAACATACTTGTAATCGGGAAATATACGGAGTGATTCTAAAATAAGTCGATATACTTTACAGACGTATGCTTTTGCTTTTTAGATACAATTTTTAACGAAAGATTTTCGATAACTCTTTATCTATAAAACAGAGAAGAGATTAAACACATTAAACATTTTTATCAATTAGGTTAAAAGAATAATAAAATAACAAAATTCACGAACTTCTCTTAATTTCAAATAAAATTTACAAACATTTTAATTATAAATATATATTGAATGGTGTAAAAATGGATAACGTCCCATAGAATTTTTATGATGAAAAGCTCGATATTCCGATCAAAGAATATGTCTGCAAAATTGTAAGGTTTATATATATAAAGACTTAATCTATATGTATATATACTTATATCAATTACACATGGCAAAAATATGACAGTAGAGGGTAGACGGCCAATGTATAGAAGCAAGCTTTACTTAAAATTAAGTTAATTTTTACATCACCTATATGTTCTCTGGGATTCTTCTCTCTTCTTGATGCTACCATCGTATGAAACGGCGTTACACGTTTGCTATCGGCGAATCGTTCGACAATAATAAATTATGCAAAACCGTGCGACAAAAGCGGTTGTCATCATTGGCTGCGAATTCTGAATCGTACCGCGATTGGCACGTGGCCAAAGGTCGTTTTTCGTGCGAAACGCATGATAAACCTTTGTTCCAGCATGTCGCACGAACGATTCTGCGTGTAATTGTGCGTTTCTACGTGTGCATTTTACTCTTAAAATACATTGTTCCATAATTTTGGACGTAGTCAAGTAGAGAGAGAGGAATCAATTGACAATTTTTATATTCCTACTGCTGAATATTATAGTATCTATTATATATATAAAGTATTCTATTTTATATCAAGAGATGCGTAATAATTTGTAATTTGTAAATTAGACGACAAAGAAGAGAGATAATGTGTAATAATAACAGATAAAGAAACTTGTTTCAACAGTACTGACAAGGAAAAATCTTTGAAAGATAATGAACCAATCAAGAAGACTCGCGACTTTGTGCATCTATTCGGCTATTTTACGTGCATGAAATCGCGACGGTCAAAATTATTTGGCGAAACCGACAAGTGGCAGAGAAAAGACACGGCGGCGGTTGCTATCTATTGTACCTCTCGTAGTTATGACTCGGCATCGGCCATCGGCCGTGAACGAAAAGATGCGGGCAGTCTGGAGCGTGGAGAAGGGTATACTAGGCACCGTGTATGTCTTCATCTAAAGTTAGATATTTTGACGCATCATATTTATGCGCAAATTATGACTCACGAGTCACATATACAGTTCAAACACATACACGGTTTGACAATTATGTTTTAAATATGTACAAAAAAAAGTTAAAATGCAAAGTTGAAAATTAAATAATAGATATCTTACGCGATATTTTAGATCGATGTAGAAAAAAATAGATTTAAGATATTTTTATCAATAATTTTATGACGCACCAAGATCTCGATATATATGACGCGTTCGATTCAAAGTATCTCAACTTCAAGTTGATGACATACAAGACGTCTAGTGTACGGCATAAAAGGAGGTGTAACGAAAGAAAAGGACTATGGCGTTAGGGGCAAAAAGACTTGGCGAGACGAGGTGAGGATTCGTGAGTGACGAGGTAATTCTTGGCGTACGCGATTGTTCGCTTTGGAGGGTTCCGCGAACGAGCCACCGTCTTTACATGCACGATCTTGAGGATGGTAAGGCAAGCCTGGACCAAATTTATCCCAGCTGTCCTAGTGTCAAAGGCCAATCGTTTTATCTAACAGTATCGGCAGCTTATGAACGCTTCCTTGCTAATTATGAATCTGACAGTGAGTTAAATAATACCAATCGTACATACTTTCGATCCACGATTGAAAGCAATTGGTGTGAGACATTCTATATACATCTTTTTTATCGTTTTTAACGAATATTTAGCGAAACATTTCAGCGATTAATTTTGGGAACTCAATTAAACAATAATAATTAATTAATAATATGTACATTTTTGATATAATTGTTTAATATAATAGTATAATATATATATATATATATAAAATATTAATATGATATAGAAAACTTTGAAAATTATACGTAGACGATCTTAGAGACCAACTTACACTCTCGTGAATGAGGGAATCTCGTTGGCAAGAGTCATGGAGTTGACCCCCTTTTCGGGCTGCTTTCGTCGAGACACTCAGGGCATTCAGGCAACCGTCGTTTTTCGCGACAATTACCGCACAATAATTACATAATTCTCGCCACACTCGACACTCGGCACTCGGAAGAGATCGTCGAAGGTAGTCAAAACCGCAAGTGGTCGAGGCGTTAGAAGGGTCGTATACGCTAGTTTGCGTCAAATGATACGTTGTAAGCGATAGACGCGGTTAACTCTGGAAGCTGTGATATATCATTCGCTGAAAAAAACATAATAGACATTAATATTTTAAATTGTGTCGTTTGCTTAAAGGATCTTGATTTTAGGTTCTAAACTCTATAGACGAATATCAGGAATGAAACAAGACAAAAGATAAAATAAAAAGCGCTACAACGCGATATCGAAAGCCTGTAGAATCCGTTGAGACGGGAGAGGAGAGAGGCACGAGTATGGAGGCGTTAAGATTTTCGAAGAAATGCCAAGATTCCGAAGAGGAGAATAAGAAAGAAGAGAGAAGAAAAGACGACCGTCTTGCTCTAGCAATTTATCCGCATCTCTCTCCCCCACCGTCCTTTCATTTTGGCTCGCGATGAGACAATGGGGCAACAGTTGCAAGACGCGATAGCGGCGGATTAATTCTCGATCGATTTCGAAGCTACTCCATCCGTGCTCGTATTGTCCACAATCGACCCTGAGAGTCGTCAGCTTTACGTAGCCATGTATGTCGTACGCGTGAGTTCATTAAATGTGTGTGTATGTGTGTATATTGGTATGCAGGCACGCTTGCACGCGCGCGCGAAGAAGCCAGGACACTAGAGACCGAGGATCAAATTATTATTATTATTATCATAACCATCTGCGTGCCCGAAAGCTTAAAAGTTGGTTCGTTTGCCAGATCAAAGGAGCCAACGTTGCATTCTCTCTCGAGAATAGAAAAAGCGTGTCTAATGTCCCAGGCGAATAGATTCTCACACAAACGAGCGGTACGCGGAGTGTACATGTTACTAAAGTACTCCTGGGAGTGTGTGTATAACCGTGAAATGTAATTTCAATTGTGCCTGCATCATATGATTTTCCTGCAGGCTTTTATAATACATATCGATGCAGCGGAACACGTATTTAGGGAAATAATAGAAATTGTAGGGCCGAGGAAAGTTGTATACGATAGTATTGGGACACCCTGTACATGTATCTTATTCAAGATTGGAGCTCGTTTTTTCTGAAGAACATCGATGACCCTCTCTTTCATTAGGCAATCATCTTTTAATTAAGCCGGAAAAAAGGGACGCCGCCGGCGCCAGTCTCTTTTATCGCTTTAAAAACGATCACCATATTTCAACGATTGGCTAAACAGATTAAAGTGTGTGTTACAAGTTTGGGAAATTTATTCTATCAGCAATAAACGACAAAGACTCGCTTCGGATTACTATAAGAGCATCGCTTACGGCTAATTGCCTAGGCATTTTAACGAAACACCAAGTTGCCCATTTATATCCACATTTCTATTATATATAAAAAATTAAATGCTTTTAAAGAGTTGAAAATTTTAAAACAAAAATATATGCGAAAGATGGTGATATACGCAATATTAATCAATGTTTTATATCATAGATTATCAATTGAAAATTCATAAAACTTTATTGTCCCGAATGTCACTGTATCTCGAGACGAGTCTTGCAAAATAACGTATAAAAAAAAAAGAAACATTAAATTTGTCTAACAGTATAATATTTAACAGGGTCGCAGCGATCTATCGTCGTGAACAACGATATGTGACGAATGTTAAAATGCCGCTGTTAAAATCATTGGATCGCGACGTAGGAGAGATAGCGACGTCATCGATGGTCCCTTGGTAGCGGGAAGACATAATTGATACGTACAAATCACCCTGCTGCTGACGCGAGGAGGACGAAAGCCAGGGATGGGTACATGGATGTACCGAGAAGGGACGATCGACGAACGGTTGTTTGACGGCACCTCACCCCTCCCCCTCTTTCCC